CTAAAGATACTCACAGACATTAGATGACAGTCCCTCAATCTGACCATTTTGGCAAAGATCTATTGCCTATACTGCACCAACAGACACCATAATTGGTGGCTCACGGGGGGATGGATAACGAACAGACAGGTGAGAAGTCTTGTCAGATTGCTATTTATCCCCATGCTAAAAGACCACCAATAAGTCAAGATCTAATCAAATATAAAACATTTCCCAAGAACACTACACTAATTACTCAAATCAATCTACAAAGACAAAACAAGCCAATTAATTCTGCAGACAAGATGCTGGAAAATCTACTCAAGAAACTGAATAGTATATTCGCTGAAAAATGGTGGAATACAATTCAAATGGCCACACCAAGCACAAAGTCAAGAGCCATATTGTTTTTTTTGTCTAGCTGTTGCCAAAAAAAGAAAACAAGTAAAGATCAGCGTAAGGGCAATAAGAGAAGACGAATGAGAACCCACAGGCCCCCTGCAGGGCTTTGACACTGAGGTGCAAGTCCATGTACTTAACTAGATGACAAGACACTGATCACCATGGTGAACCAGTTTATCTACAGACAGATAACAAAAGGCCAATTAGTGTAGAGGAGCTCCTGTGAGATAAGACCTCAAACATCAGCACAATTACTGTCCCCAATCTCCAGGAGGGTATTTACTAAATGGCAGCAGTTAATAGACACAAGTCTTTTTTTTTAACCTAATTAACTATGTAACCAAACGCGTTAACTCCAACCTGTCTGAGGGTACACAGAAACACCTTCAGTTCAGATAAGAATCTGCAGCCGTCTACGTGGGACTTTGTCAGTGTGGCAGTGATGGAGGAACAGAGAGGCGTTTGTGTCCAGAAAGCACACATCCTGGGCAACAGGATCTGGAGGAGAACTTCTCCTCTCTCTCTCTCTCTCTCTCTCCCTCCCGTTTCCTACAAACTGAACGGCGCAGCTTTATACAAGAACAGACATCCCAAAGGATGCAAAGTCCTCGTACAACTTCAGTCCTACAGGGGACCAATAAAAGGACAGTGTTAATATAGACCAGGGGTAGGCAACCTTGGCACTGGCTGGAGTGTGGTGAGGCTACAAATCTCATCATGGACCTGGGAGGCATGCCTGTGGCTGGCTGTTGTGCAATGCCTCATGGGATTTGTAGTTCCACAACAGCTGGAGAGTCAAGGTTACTTACAGTGGCTTAGTGGATAGCAATTCTACCTTGCAGCACTTAGAGTCAGGACACTATCTGCATGGAGTTTGCATGCTTGCATGGGTTTCCACTGGGCATTTCAGCTTCCTCCCACACTCCAAAGACGTATAGGTCTCCATATAGTGATCTCTCCCCATTCACCTTTATCTTTTATGTAACTATGAAGCTCTCTATAGGTCTCCACATACATGGAAGATAAGGGTGAATGAGGATAGATCTCTATGCAACTATGAAGCTCTCTATAGGTCTCCACATATATAGTGGTCTATCCCCATCCACCCTCATCTTCTATGCAACTATGAAGCTCTCTATAGGTCTCCACATACATAGTGGTCTATCCCCATCCACCCTCATCTTCTATGCAACTATGAAGCTCTCTATAGGTCTCCACATACATAGTGGTCTATCCCTATCCACCCTCATCTTCTATGCAACTATGAAACTCCCTATAGGTCTCCACATACATAGTGGTCTATCCCCATCTTCTATGCAACAATGAAACTCCCTATAGGTCTCTACATACATACATACATACATACATACATACATACATACATACGTGTGATCGAAAAAAACAAAGCGCTAAGGGTAAATGTATGTGCAAAAGGTGAACAATATGTTTTCTGGCGAGGCCAGTCTAAAACCTAATAAAGTGTGTGAAACAGAACTCACTGCAAATAAACAAAAAACACTCTAACCATGATGCACTAAACACTTATAACAAAAAAAAAATTCATTCCAATGAATTAAATAGACGAAAAGGTATTTAAAAACATCAAAAAAGTGTCCAATGAGAAAAAAATCCAGGTGAGTGGTGGATTCCGTGTGCAAATATACAAATGTGCAAAAATAGCAGTGTACTTGAAGTTGATCCGAACTGCCCCTCTCGGGTGGGTACTTACCAAAAGGAAGTTGGTAAGAAGCTCTTAGTAAGTAATACCGTGATTAGGCTTTAGCACAGACGTACTCTCTGCGAGTCCCGGCAGCTGAAACAATTGATTTTCTCCTCTATGCCGTTGGCTATAACTCAAGGATGAGGAGTCCGATCTTTTCTGATAAGAAATGCTGGCAACAGCGTTATTCGTTCAGAGGAGGGATATATGATTCTGATGCACTTTTCCCGCACTCACAGCAGTGATACTGATTCGGCCACTGGCAACTGAGAGTCTTTCATCTGACTTGGATTCCCGATGCAGGACTCCGGAGGAACCCTGATCTATCCCTAACAGGCCGGAACACACTCCCCGAGTCTCTTAACTTTCCCTCACAAGCTGGGTATCTGTCCCTGTCTACGTCCACACGTGCTCTGTCGGATGAAAGACTCTCAGTTGCCTGTGGCCGAATCAGTATCACTGCTGTGAGTGCGGGAAAAGTGCATCAGAATCATATATCCCTCCTCTGAACGAATAACGCTGTTGCCAGCATTTCTTATCAGGAAAGATCGGACTCCTCATCCTTGAGTTATAGCCAACGGCATAGAGGAGAAAATCAATTGTTTCAGCTGCCGGGACTCGCAGAGAGTACGTCTGTGCTAAAGCCTAATCACGGTATTACTTACTAAGAGCTTCTTACCAACTTCCTTTTGGTAAGTACCCACCCGAGAGGGGCAGTTCGGATCAACTTCAAGTACACTGCTATTTTTGCACATTTGTATATTTGCACACGGAATCCACCACTCACCTGGATTTTTTTCTCATTGGACACTTTTTTGATGTTTTTAAATACCTTTTCGTCTATTTAATTCATTGGAATGAATTTTTTTTTTGTTATAAGTGTTTAGTGCATCATGGTTAGAGTGTTTTTTGTTTATTTGCAGTGAGTTCTGTTTCACACACTTTATTAGGTTTTAGACTGGCCTCGCCAGAAAACATATTGTTCACCTTTTGCACATACATTTACCCTTAGCGCTTTGTTTTTGTTCGATCATACTAGGATTTATCCCTTTTCAGAGCAGCTTCGGGTTCTATTATATATTTATATTTATTCACACATATTGTATTAATTCATTTATTCTAACTACCACCTCTCTCTAGAAGCGCAGATTTATCTGTTTACATACATACATAGTGGTCTATCCCCATCCACACTCATCTTCTATGCAACTATGAAACTCCCTATAGGTCTCCACATACATAGGTGGGAATGTATCAAAACTGGAGCAGACATAATCTGGAGCGGATTTGCATTGTAACCAATCAGCTTCTCTCTCATTTACAAATCACAAGTGAGCAAACTGAATAGCGGTGCTGATTAGTTACCATGGGTAACTGCTCCAGATTCTATCTGCTCGAGTTTTGATAAAATCCCCCCATAGTGATCTATCCCCATCTGGATCTGGAAATGTTACAATGTACAGAAAAATCAAAATCATTTAAAAGGTTTTGGAAAAGTATTGTGAAAAGATTACATTGTTTTTTTTTGCTTGCTGGAGCCTCACTGCAGCAACACAAAACCAATGCCCTCAATGCAGTGTGACTGACAGCTACACATTGAAAGTAAGCTGTAAGTTTCTGAATGTGTCACCAGCGTCGGATGACAATCACCTTCTCGTCAACAATTGAATGGTGACAATGGCGTCTTAATATAGACCTAAACGTCATGTGACCGATGAATGCCATTACCTGTGTCAAGACTGCTGAAGGCAAGAGAGGCACAGGATACAAATCACAAAGTTCAACATATTGTTACCGAGAGTCACTGGAGACATTACAGGAAGATGTGAGCTGCCATCAGAAGCCAGACCAATGCCCCAGAGACGCCAACTACTACATGACGGTGCCCCAGAGACGCCATCTACTACATGACGGTGCCCCAGAGACGCCATCTACTACATGACGGCGCCCAATATATGCCAACTACATGACAGTGCCCCAGAGAGGCCAACTACTACATGACGGTGCCCCAGAGACGCCAACTACTACATGACGGCGCCCAATATATGCCAACTACTACATGACAGTGCCCCAGAGACGCCAACTACATGACGGCACCCAATATATGCCAACTACTACATGACAGTGCCCCAGAGAGGCCAACTACTACATGTCGGTGCCCCAGAGATGCCAACTACTACATGTCGGTGCCCCAGAGATAACACCAACTGCATAACAGGGCCCAAGAGATGTCAGGTACATGAGAGCATCCTAGAGATGCCAACAGCTACATGCAGGTGCCCCTGAGATACCACTAGTTATGTGAATACAACCCAAGAATAGCCAGCACCTATGTGAAATGTGCCCCCTAAGATGCCAACTGGTTCTTTCACATTGCAACAAATTCTTGTAAGAAAGAGAGGCCAGAGACTCTGAGAGCGATGTCATATCCAGCAACAAGGAGAGGGCTGCCCAGGGAAAGCAGTGATACAACAATGTCCTCAAGCTGTGTGTGAAGTGTCACTATGGTGGGCAGTCCCCTGGGAGGCAATGCTGAGGGATGTGCTGCCATCCCAGAGACTGGCAGGGAAATTCCCATTCACACACTGGTCACTATGGAGGGATGTATGAGCACAGGACGTGTGAGGGCACACTGCTCACCACACACACACACACATTTATTTATATATATATATATATATATATATAAATATATATATACACATATACATACACACATACACCTCACTACATGGATATACAGCTCACATACAGCACACTACATGGATATACAGCTCACTGCACTCATGTACACCTCACTACATGGATATACAGCTCACATACAGCACACTACATGGATATACAGCTCACTGCACTCATGTACACCTCACTACATGGATATAAACCTCTCAATACTCACCACACATGCTTGCTGTAGTCTATGTCCCGGGCTCTGATAGGTATCTCTGGCTGTCTCTGACACAGTCTGCGGCTAGTACACAGTGAGTCTCAGCCACCCCTACATAAGAACCACAGACCTGCGCCTGACGTCACTAGAACCATCCTCATTCTCTCTATTGGTCAGCGCCGTGCCTGTCAGTCCCGGTGAGCGCGTCAATTGGGCCCCCCCCTCCGACAACTCCCACCCACCGGCGCCCTCTCTTTGTCGATTGGCGGGAGGCGACGCGGGCACGCCTACCGCTGGCAGCAGTGACGTGGCCGGATCCAACTCCACAGAGCCACCGAGCTGATGGTGACTGCACAGGGTGGGCGGGGCCGCACGAACATGATGGGCGGAGCAGGGGGAAACGTCAAATGGGCAGGATAAGGGAATGTCAATGGGCCCGGGCTTCTCTGATCGCCAATTCGCCATTCACAATTCAAGTTCTGCGGACGGGGAGCTCTCCCGATGATGTGTGATAGAGATCACTACATATACGATGCATGACATTTATCTGATTGTAGGATCAATGAGGAAGAACGAAGACACGTGTATAAACAACAAAGTATTTTATATATAGAAATATATTTATTATTATAAAAATATGTACTGAGTGCTGCCTTCCATGTGCCCATCACTTTCATCAACTTCCTGGAGACCTGGATCCCCAGTGTGCTTTGCATCTCTGTCCCTGCTGCTTAGTGTGATGCAATATCTATTTCTCAAGACTGCTTATCCCATCATGCATTGCTTCCAGCCAGCAGTGATGATGTTACATTGTTCAGACATTGAGTTGTTCTCTGAATGTGCAACTCCCTGTGCTCGGTGTGCAGAGGGAAAGCTGCTGGAGTCATCACGGCTATCGCTGTATGTAGCTCGGCCCACTACTGATAACCACGTTTCTGATGAGGATACTTAGACCCAGCCAAGCTGACCAATGTAAGTGTCCCAAAAAAAAGATAATTCCTGGAGTTCTGCTTTAATGTCAGGTAAATTTCAAAGGAATATCTAATAATATCAGGAGATAATCTGATGGTTGGAAGACTCCAAGACCAACCTTTTCCAATCTCATGGCACTCTGGGGCGCCTTCTGCATTCCTCCGGGGTGACATTTTTACACAATATCATGACTTTCCATGGGGCAGTCCAGCTTTTCATATGACGGGGGAACAGTGATGTGAGAGGGAAGGGGGGCTCTAATATGTAATGGGGGACTACGATCTACAAAGAGGGGGCTCCTAATCCAAACGCAGACTCTGTTGTGAAGGAGAAACACAATTTGTTTGTGTGGGTTCCACACCTAAAATCCATACCAGATCCCTATCTAGGATAAAGGTCTAGTATGGATTTTTTAAGGGGCCATGTGTCATTCTTTTACATTTATGTTTCATACATATTAGCAGGGCCGTCGTTACCGCGAGGCAAAAGGGGCAACTGCCCTGGGCCCCATAATTTACAGGGGCCCACAGCAGCTGCCACTTTCACTCGGAGCAGCGGCACCACTGGTGACAGACATGGACTGGCAAGCATGTTACCAGTCAGGACAAGGGTCGGCCTTTAGGCACCCTGTGCGAGAAAGCTTTACAGCGCCCCTCAGTGACCACACCCCTCAGTGGCCACACCCTTTAGTGACCACACCCCCGTAACACCACCCATTTTTCCCAATATCCGCACCATTTAAAGACTCCTATTTTGTTAAGCATCAAAGAAACATATTAAAAAGTATGATAAAAATAAAACTTTTATTCAAAGGTATTAAACTTGTACGCACAATATAAGTATTCTTATCAAATAAAACAACAGAAGGGAAACAATAAATGTCAAACTACAATAGAGTCTATAAAAATAAAGTGTCAGGATGAAGTGGGGGGGGGGGTGGACGAGGGAGCGCTGTCATATCGGATGGCCAGCAGTGAGGGGGAGAGAAGCCGTCCCCCAGGACGGTTCCTGGATGCTTAAGACGATCTCTAGTGGTCTCCTGCGATAGCCGTGATCTCTAGCGGCCTCCTGCGATAGCCGTGATCTCTAGCGGCCTCCTGCGATAGCCGTGATCTCTAGTGGTCTCCTGCGATAGCCGTGATCTCTAGTGGTCTCCTGCGATAGCCATGATCTCTAGTGGTCTCCTGCGATAGCCATGATCTCTAGCGGCCTCCTGCGATAGCCGTGATCTCTAGTGGTCTCCTGCAATAGCCATGATCTCTAGCGGTCTCCTGCGATAGCCATGATCTCTAGTGGTCTCCTGCGATAGCCGTGATCTCTAGCAGTCTCCTGCAATAGCCGTGATCTCTAGCGGCCTCCTGCGTTAGCCGTGATCTCTAGTGGTCTCCTGCGATAGCCATGATCTCTAGTGGTCTCCTGCAATAGCCGTGATCTCTAGCAGTCTCCTGCGATAGCCATGATCTCTAGCGGCCTCCTGCGATAGCCGTGGTCTCCTGCTATAGCCATGATCTCTAGTGGTCTCCTGCAATAGCCGTGATCTCTAGCAGTCTCCTGCAATAGCCATGATCTCTAGCAGCCTCCTGCGATAGCCGTGATCTCTAGCGGCCTCCTGCGATAGCCATGATCTCTAGTGGTCTCCTGCTATAGCCATGATCTCTAGTGGTCTCCTGCAATAGCCGTGATCTCTAGCAGTCTCCTGCAATAGCCATGATCTCTAGCAGCCTCCTGTGATAGCCGTGATCTCTAGTGGTCACCTGCGATAGCCATGATCTCTAGTGGTCTCCTGCAATAGCCGTGATCTCTAGCAGTCTCCTGCAATAGCCGTGATCTCTAGCAGTCTCCTGCAATAGCCGTGATCTCTAGCGGTCTCCTGCGATAGCCGTGATCTCTAGCGGTCTCCTGCGATAGCCGTGATCTCTAGCAGTTTTGTGTGATACCCTTAGGGGTCTGGGTCAGGAAGTGGGAAGGCAGGTGATGGAGGCTGGAGGGTTGTGGGGGCCCATCAGCAAAATCTTGCCCAGGGCCCAATTAATATTAGAGACGGCCATGCATATTAGACTGATGTGCCACAAGATTTTGCATACTTTTAAAGGGTGCCATGGCTGAAAAAAGGTGGAGCAACGCTGCGCTAGACTGCTCACATTTTCACATTGTATCAGGGACAGAAGGTTTATATTTAAAGGAGAACTATGAGGTGAGTCTATAGAAAGTGGCTGAGGACAAGGGGAATCTATAGAAAGAGGCTGAGGACAAGGGGAATCTATAGAAAGAGGCTGAGGACAAGGGGAATCTATAGAAAGAGGCTGAGGGCAAGGGGGATCTATTATAAAGAGGCTGAGGGCAAGGGGAATCTATAGAAAGAGGCTGAGGGCAAGGGGGATCTACTATAAAGAGGCTGAGGGCAAGGGGAATCTATAGAAAGAGGCTGAGGGCAAAGGTACTCTATAGAAAGAAGCTGAGGGCAAAGGTACTCTATAGAAAGAGGCTGAAGACAAGGGGACTCGATAGAAAGAGGCTGAAGACAAGTGGACTCTATAGAAAGAGGCTGAGGACAAGGAGTATAGAGTGGTTGTACTGCTGTGAAATGCCATTAGAAGTGGCAATCATGAAAGCATGCATGCCCAGATTGATAAGGACACACCTGTTTTGCACATTGATTGATTCACGTCTGGTCACACAGATCCATATGACCTAAATAAAGTCTATGTGGAGCAAACAATTGTAAATGTAAAGCAATTAAACTTCATATGTAAATTGTGCCTCTGTCTACCACATGAACCTGTGAGAGTCCTTCCAATCTCATACACAGTATGTGCTTGAGTTTTTCCCAGTCACTTCCCCATGTGAATATTACCCAGCACCACCTGGTTTTTATTGAATTTGTTAATTACTTGTCTATGTAAATTAGCTGGAAAATATTTGTAGAAATTGCATACAGGGGTCAGCAAGGGAGTAGAGATCAGATCTGAACTGTATATGGGGTAACAAAGCATTTCTGGCCGGTGATGTTGGCACCATGTTTTTATGGCCTGTTTGGACAACACAATGGCTAAGGAGTTAGCATATCTGGCTGATAACAATGGGGCCCAGACATCAGATCTCACTAGGATCGCCTATCTAAATGGAGTTTGTATATTTTCTCTCTATTTATGTAGGGTTCCTCTGTGTCTCCATTTGATTGGCTTTAATATGTGCCTGACTGCAAGGCTGTGCGGAAGGGGTATTAAAAAATAGGTAGTGCAACCAAGGGCATGACCTCCTGTGAATGATTGTATTCTCCAGAATGTGCTGGGGAATATGTGGTAGCTAAATAATTGCTAATACAGTAACACAATAAATGTATTGGAGTCAATGGTTTGTCCTATATGAACAAGAGGTTTCACCAGTTTATTATACACCTTCAAATACTTTATTGGTCTCAGATAAGAACTTTCAGCAAAGGAGAGACCTTATGCAAGCCTTTCCCACCCAGGATTCTATAGAACCGTAGGGTTCCTCCAGAGGTTTCTAAGGGTTCCCTGGGCAATGAACAATTTCTGCCTCTCAGATATGTCTTATCTTATCTCTCAGATAAGAACTTTCAGCAGACGAGGTAGACCTTATTACAGCCTCTATGAACCAGGGTTCCATGGATTCCTCCAAAAGTTGCAAGGGGTTCCTGGAGCAATGAGAGATGTATGCCTCTCAGATAAGTAAGGGGGGGTCTGCCCAAATGTAAGGAGCATTCTTCCCAGTTACCATTACACAAATGTGCCATGAGCTGTAGATATAGTATTTATTTTAGCAGAGTTTCCGTGAGACTGGAAAGTTAATTCAAGGGTTCCTTCATGTTACAAAGGTTGTGGAAGGCTGCCTTATTCAATACAATCATGCATCTCTATATAGATGATAGAAAGATGATTTGGCAGTCAGACCATACAAGCATGATTTGTAGTATCAGTTGCCAGTGCCTAGGTTTTTTTCCACATATTAACCTTGGTGCAACATAAAGGGCTGATTTGGCAACAGATAAGTGTGGAAGCATAACAATAGCCATAGCTGAAGTTGCTGTTGACCCTGTACCCCTTATGGCATTTCCAATCAAGAAGAGTTGATATGAAATGTACAAGAAGAGACTATGCAGACAGCTCTCCTGCTACCGGTTTTGCCATGGGG